GCTAATCCAGACCTTAGATATGTAGTGTATGGGAAAAAAAATACTTTTATATGTAGATCTTATTGAATATACTTTAAATTATGTATGTTGATCCTAGTATTCATAAAGATAAATTTTGAATTTACTGCACTCCTTTACTTTTCTACCTTTCATTAAACACTGTTCCTGTTACACTGCGTTTATGCTTGTGTTTGATGTAAAATTTAATTGTAAACACTCGTATTTATTGCACATTATCTGTCTGTTGTCTGTCAGCACAAACTTTATATTACTGCTACTCCACTGAAACTGATTGTAATATTATCATGAAATTTTAAACATGCATTCATCACAAGGTCTTGTTTGTCCTGAATAAAAATGGTGTCCCATAGACACCCATTATAGCCACCACGATGACATCTTGAAAAGTTTCTTATTGCTATGTTTTGTTAACCAGTATGCGGTTTCACCCAAACGACTTGTTATGATGGTTTCTTCTTTTGCCTTCCAGTCCTCATGGAAACACAGGGCATTGAATACATTTCGCCACCAGACCCGTTTTTGGTGTTGTCCTCTTCAGTTCGGCCCGTTGTTCAGTCGGGCTTGATTTTTTTCTCCTACCTTTTTCTTGCTATCGTGGACTATTCTAGGACTGAAAAGTGATTATTTGGCAGCTTTCTCTGTGCATGCCAAATTTACCACCATTTTTTTTTTTTTGCGATTTGTTTGTGGGTAGGTAGCCAGCCGGTGTTTTTTACTGGTTGATATGAATTTTATCAGGCCATTCGATGTTGAAGAGGTGGCTGAGGCAGCTGTTCACAAATTACTACAGTTTGTTTGAGGATGTCTAATGTATATTTGTTATGTATTGTTTGATAGTTTTTCTCAATGATTTTCTGGTGTGTATAATAGGATATTTGTATCTTGGACCTTGCAGTTCATTTTATACCTGACTAGGGATATTGATGTTGTTTTGGTAAGCACGTAATTCATAGTCCCTTTGAGTTTAAATATTAAGATCATTGTCAGTAAAGGTAAACATTTTAATGGTTCCGGGTCTAGGAATTCTTACATGAAGAACATGTTGTACTTAATGTTTATCACATTCTTTATTATAATTTTCATTAAAAGATTTAATCTGTTTTCAACTGTGAATTTTCGGGAAATGAACTTTGGGTCTACATCCTGCCTCTACGTTTTTGTCTTTTTTTTTTAAATAAAAATAATCTTGTTTACTTGTAAAATATCCATTTTTGCATTTAACAGCTTTAGTAGAACTTGTATTGTTGTGTTCTGATGATTGATTTGAGTAGAATTATCAATTCAAAATGTTGTTCTCTGGAATTAAAAAGTGCTTAATATCATTCTTGGGCAGAAACAATAATTTGGAATTATAGTGAATTCAGGCAAGGGCATCTTGGATTTTATTATTATGATTGATTGGAAGACTCTAAGCACATGATCACACTTCAAGCCACTCATACATTAGTACATTCATGACTACACTTTTAGCACGGTTTTATTTCTAACACCATTGACATTTAATTAGTTCTTTATTTATTAGGACTGGTGATCGAACTTTTTGGACTATTTGGGATTTAAGTCGCAGTACTTTACCTTCATGGGAAATAAATTATTTGTTGAATTTTACAAAACTTTTTGTTTTTTCATTGTTTTAATTTACTTAGTTTACAAAGATAGAGTCGTAATAGTTGTCATAGTAACCTTCCCGGTGTCTGAGGTGTAGAGCAAGATAGACTAAATGCTTGTGTTGAACGGTCAGAGCTTGTTCTTTAAAGAGAGTGATAATGAACTCCATGCAATGTTAAATACTTAAATGGGTTTTCCAGTTCTGTTCTGGGTGTTTTGGTCAATCTCTACATCAGTCGAGACATTACTCCATTGGTAGGTGAACTGTTCAACTTCCTCTAGGTGTATTTCGTGCAGCTTTACCTTGCTTTTTGTTTATTTTCATTTATTTGATTTTCATTATTCTTGTTTTCCTGGTTAGTAACTGAAGTCCAGACAATTCCGCTTCATTTGTCAGACAAGTAGTCTTAGCATGCATGTATTGGTGATTATGGAAGAGGAGGATCAGGTCATCTAGAAGTTCAGGTGCTTTTAGCTTTTGTGAAGTTTCACTAATTCAGTTTGCTTGTCCTTAGTGGTTGCTTTAATTATCTGTTTTATAGCCATCAAGAAAATCGTTGACAGTAGGAGATATTCGTGTTTGACTCCGGTTTGGATTTGGAAGAGTTCTGACAGCTTCACACTGTGGGTAACTTGTCAGCTGTAATTGTTATATAACTGCTGCGTTAATGGACTTCACTCTGATTTCCAAATTACTTCTATGTCCACACTGTCAAAGTCCAAAAAGTTCACTTAGAGGAGTGATTGCTAATTTTGGACTTGCTTAATTATAATGTGCAGTGTAGCGATGCGGTGTGTGCAGTAGATGGATGGTTTTATTTTACTTACAGCCAGCTTTCCTTTAGTAGTTTGGTTAAACCCAATTTTTTTTTATGGGGACTGACCTATATGTTATGGAGTAGTTGGTATCAGGTCTATAGTTTCTGTCGTCATCATGGTAATCGGCGTAACCCACTGATGAGTGATGGACCCAGGCAGCTTCAGCATAGCCTCAGCACGTTTTGGGTTGTATTGGACTTGGCCTTCATGGCTACCTTAATGACCTGGTTATGATGTCTAGTTGGTCCTAAATGAAAATTGTGCCATCTTGCGTCAATAAGTTATTATGTGGATATATATTTACATTTTTTTCTGAGACAAGTTCAATAATTATATATGCATACCATTACGTCCAAGACCGGAGGCCAACACAAAGAAATATGTACTGCAGTTTTAGTGACAGATTTGGCATGTTGAAATTTCTCAAGAATATCGAAAGTTGTTTGAATACTCTGACTTTAGAAAGAGAAAGGAAAAAAAGAAAAAAGTTTGTCATGGAGAAATACTTTTCGGCCGGTAAGGATTCTTTTTTTAATCTGAAGGGGAAGGGGGTTGTCCCCCCACCTTTCAGTTCGAAAATAGACCGTATGCTAATGGTCACAAATCCATTTTCATTGAACGAATGTGTTATGTATATTTAATTTGCACTGCTAGTTAGGTTGTTTTTAAAATAAAGATTTGTTTATTTCATTATATGCTATTGTAATGTAACATTATATGTTGGACGTAACATGTGCAAAATCAAGTTTATTTCTACTTCATCTGAATTATTACTTTCTTAATCTTTTTATTTCATTCTGTAAGCAACTAGTAAAATAAAATATTCTCTATTTGTTTTTTTAGCAGAATAGAAGTAATGTTTATTTGATTTTGGGTCTTTGTTTTGGGGATTCCCCTACAATTTACCTAGTGTACCTGACATTATACATGTTTTATATTGTAATTTTGTAACATACTTTCTAATTATAACTTGTGTTTTATTTTGTAAACTTTAAGAACTTTGTATATGGTTATTTTTTACTAGGTAATGTTTTTGGGGTTTTTTTAGGAAATGTTAATTATGACCTGAGGGAAAATTATTCATTCGTGCTTTAGCCCTCTGATGACCTAAGTGGGTATAGGGTCCACCTCAGATGCACGAGGTCGTGGGTTCAAATCCTGGCTGAGTTATACCAAAGACTTATAAAATGGTACTTGCAGCTGCTTCACTTGGCGCTCAGCTTTAAGAGGTTAGTTTTGGGGCTGGACGGCCTGGTGTCAGGATAATGTGACTGTGTGGGACATGATACTATCTGTTCACGGCATGATGCTCCAGTGCAAGACATCACTATAAACTGTCGCACTGCAGACGATATGGCTGAAAAATTGTTTTAAAGAAAGCTACGCTAAAAATTCAATTCACAAATATTTTGTAATACTTCCTTGGATGCGAGTCTTTTCAAGCTTCATATACCAAAAGAACACAAATCAAACCAAATCGCTTTTGAACTAGTTTACTTGGATTGTACTCTTAATTGGACCATGCTTGTTTGAATCAAATTGCAATAATGCATCGTGTTCATTTTTCGGTCGATTATTGAGGGATCACATTTTTTTGTTATTTAGCTTAAATATTCATTTAAGTCTTCAATGATAAACTTCATTATGGCTTGTAACTTAATTTGTATCCCAGTGGCGTCACTATGGTGTGCGGACCGCACCGGGTGATACCATCAGAAAGTTGACACCATTATGACTATAAAAAAAATGTGCAGGAAAGGAGTCAATGGGGTAGGGGTGACATTATGAATTACCGCACTGGGTGATACCAAACCTCGTGACGCCACTGTTGCATCAGACTCCTTTAAGGGAAACATTCATGTGTGTTGGATTCTTCCAATGAATGTAGTATAATACTGCTTTGCTGGTTAGTAACTGGAATTCAACACAAAACAAGTAAACAACTTTCAAATAGACTTAGTATTCGTTTATTCCGAATGACTTAGATATTTATCATGATTTATTCAACTTTTCATACGCTTACCATAATAAACATCTTGGCATTTTGTGTCACAGACCATGTTTAGCTATCCCAACATATTTTTGTTTTCCATAACTAGTTTCAAAACAAATTCTTTGCATGGATTTCACTTGAGACAAGGAAAAAATATGTTAGTTAAGAGTGAAAAGGTAAAAGTTCAAGATCACAGTTGCTAAGACAAAAAGGGTTTTTACGAAGTAACTTGAGATTTAGATCATGTGGGCCTTTGCACTTTAAGAGAGAGAGAGAGAGAGAGAGAGAGAGAGAGAGAGAGAGAGAGAGAGAGAGAGAGAGTGTGTGATTTAGATTTCTAACATAATTTAACAAATTTTCAGTCATATCGCTACGATGTCTGCAGTGTGACAGTTTATAGTGATGTCGAGCATAGGGGCATCATTCCGCAGACATGTGGCATGATGTCCCACCCAGTCACATTATCCTGACACCAGGCCAACTAGTCCTAACACTAACTTCTTAATGCTGAGCGCCAAGCGAGGCAGCTGTTAGTACCAATTTTTAAAGTCTTTTGTATAACTCAGCCTGGGTTCGAACCCACGACCTCCCGCATCCGAGGCGGACGCTGTAACCACTAGGCCACCGGAGTGGTTCTTTTAAGGGGAATAAAAACTTGTATTGGCTATGGGATCAAGGCCAGCTGTCAAGTTTACAATGAAGGAGGAGAAAGTGTTTTTTCATGAAAAATTCAAGCTCCAGATTATTTCTTTTATCCAAACTTTAAGTCATTGGGTGTGTAAGTAATTTCGAATCAGTTTTTTGGTCACATTTAGTATATTCAGGATCAAAAACAGGTTCTAGTAAAGTATCATTTTAGCACTTGGATGCGGTTATCTGTCATATTGGCTTAGCTCATTACTGGTCTATACCAATGAACTGTCAGGGTCTCACGAATAATAAGAAACACCTACACGTGGTAATGATAGAATTTATTATTTGATTGGCTGAGTTTGATGTCATTCACAACGTTGTTCGACTTTGTAAAGTTGCATAAAATAAAATAGTATTAAGGCTGATATAAACAAGGCATTACATCGTTAACACTTTAGAAATTATTGCAAACAAATGAAGATATTTTTGAATTGTCTGATAATGACTGATGTTGCTAACCATACTGATGGTTCATGTCTTCAATAGCATTTTTAATCAAAACTGCGGAAATAGACAACGGTTTAAGGACGGTATGAATATATGCTTGCCTATAAGTGTACGTCGTATATGATTCAGTTGCAGAAACATCTTTTAGGTGAAGAGGATTAGGCCTACTTGTGTCTCCTTGTCTTAGTTGATCTAATATACACATCACAGGTTAGTTTGGTTTGAGTTAAATTTTAAGCGTTGCATGCCGAAAGACAACATCCATAATAAAATCAGCCTGTAATGGACTTTGTATAGTTTGATACAGTCTAAAATCTTTACCTAGAGGCATCTGATATTTCATTATATTCATTTATTATTTATATTTTTAAGGCCTGATTGTTATATTTTTAGCTTCTTATAGAACAGGCAGGTTGTATTTATAAAAATTTTGCATAGAGTCATAACCTAGGCTTAATAATCAGCACCTTGCTGGCAGCTTTGGGTTGTATTTATGAAAACTTTGCATGAAAAATTGCCATATAAGCATTCATAAATAAGATTGGATTCATTGCAGTAATGTGATGTTAAGAAAACAGATCACGTCAGTGGTATAACAGCCAATTTGGTCTTCTGTTTAAGATCTCTCTTGAACTGGTTATAACGATTCAGTTGACTTTAATTGACTGAAGAGTTTTTTTTAATGATTCATTTGGAAGCTTTTGAATGTTTTCTATACATTCACTATTGTTCCAAAAATCAATGAATATAAAAGACAAGCCTTCTTTCAATCAACAGTAGAATCACCGTGTTTATATAGTTACAGTCATGGTTTACAATGTTGACATCCAAATGTATTTACATTGTTTCAAAACATGCTGCATGTTGTAAGCATCGAGTCTCCAACTTTTAAATACATAAATAGATGTGGGTCAACAACAAAAAAAAAACTTGTTTATGCTTGTGTGTTATTAATACAGTATTCAGGGCTTCCAACAATTACAAGCAGATATAAATGGATCATGATAAACAACAAAAATGTTCATGACTAGGCTTTATTAATAAAATTTAAAGAATAAGTGTCCAAAGAAGCTTGTGTTGTTTTTTTTTTTTTTCATCTCATATGTAGTGCAGAAATTTTACAAAGACTTTCTGAATAGTAACTATTTTTATCATTATATCCCGTCAATACAGATTTTAACGCTATATTTATAGCTCTTTTGTTTTAATTTTACTCCAAATTTTGAAAATCTGAAGGTATCCACAATATTCTAGACAAACTAATATAGCTTTTGGACATAGATATTTGCACTTGTTTCCACTATCGTATAAAATAATGAGCAATTGTTTCTGCTTTTATAAGTTACATGCGATGTTTATTACTTTTATTGAGTATATGGCAGCTAATATTTGTTAATGGATTAGTGACACAAGGTTGAATTCAGTTGAAGCAAATGTCTGTCTGGCAGATGGATTGAATTTATTGTGTTTGCATTAAGTAAAACCTAGTAGAGCATCTGACCTCTTTTTATATCTGAATGGAAAGCGGGTTATTTAATATATATTTCTGACCTGGTGTCTTTTCCTACATAATTATACATTTAATCACTTTATATGCTCAATTTTTAACATAGCATATTATGCTATGACCCTGTTTGTCCTGTAACCATTCTTTTTTAGCATATAGCTTCAGTAGAACAGAACCTACCTTTGCCAAATGTTGCAGATAGTTTTTCTTGACAGAAGAAAGAAACGTGTTTATTTTGGGTCTAAAAGGTTTCTTTTTAAGAAAAACGATGGAAAAAATGGTTTCTTGTCGATAACTTTTATTTTTCATCACATTCCTGTACCAAACTTTGTGGCTGGCTTGAATTCGGAACGAACAAAAGTCTGTCGATATGGTGGTCTAACGTTTGAAAGTCAGGGTCACTTTCTGATAGAAGAAAAGTTCTTTCTGCACAAACATTTGTCTATCGTATACTTTCACATAAATTTATGTACTGGATTAGAAAGAACCCTAATGATTTTAGATGTCAGAAAGTGATGGTCACAGATAGATGTGCTTAATAACTTTAGTTCTAGACCCTGTACATATATTTTGTTCAACTTTTGCAGAAGGCATTCACTGAAAGAGGCTTATTTATTTTAGTTCAAGGGGTCAAGGTCATTATGACTCGGAAAAAAAATGGCTTTTGCGGAAGGTAAAAAAAAAACGTTTGTAAGTTCCTTTGTCAAAGTTTGTGGATAGTTTGCATTTGAATAAAAAGTATAAAATAGAATAGAATAAAAAGAATAAAAAGTAGATTATTGTTGTCAAAAGATGACGAGAAGGTCGACAAGAAAATAATTCAGTATGTACAGTGAGGTAAGTTAGAGACCGTATGCCTTTACCAATAATGCCGACATACAGATAGAGCAAAAATAGCGGCTCTACTGACACTTCCATCTAAGGCAACATCATTAAGAAGATGCGTCTTATAGTTAGGATTTCATGTCCGTAGAGTGTGCTTCGTATACCCACCGAAGAGCTGAAAGGCATTGTAGAGTTTTCTTGCACGATACAATGGGTCAACTTGTCATTCTTTAACAAGATCTTGAATAGAATTTTGCTAGGACAACGTCTTCTGAGCAAATCCTCAATTGAATTTCTGTCATTATAGACTGGCCATAAGTTATGACATGCATAAAAATCAGATTAGACAAGATATATTAAATTCATTAAGGAAATTAAAAGAATGATCCATCAAACTATCAACCAGTTTTCGTTCTACCTATATTTTCAAAACGTATTAAAAATACGTTAGCAAGCATCTTTTCAGAAATCTCAATAAGTACTATCTCCATAAATCACAATTAGGTTTCCGACCGAAACATTCATGTCAAACTGCTTAGACGAACATAAGGTCAATTGGCTACGAACTATATTGACTCTGGCTAACTTACTGGCGCTGTCTTTCCGGAAAATAAAAATAAAAAATTATAAAGAAAAAAATAGAAAACAAACTCCAAAAACATTAGATTTGGTTGACTGTTCGGTGGTCATTATACAATTATCAGCCACACGTTTTCTTCAAGCACCCTTTCTTGGTTCAGATTACATCTTGCTAACAGAATACAAATTGTGTTTATGGGTAAATATACTTCCTTGTCTTCAAAGTAGGTTTTCACAAGGCTCTGTATTAAGGCATATGTGTGTCCCACTGTTATCAATATCTTAGAGATGAGAACCGCTCCGGTGGCCTAGTGCTTACAGCGTCCGCCTCGGATGTGGAAGATCGTGGTTTCTATTCTCGGTTGAGTCATATCAAAGCCTTACAAAAATGGTGCTAACCGCTGCCTCACTTGACGCTCAGCATTAAGAGGTTAGTGTTAGGACTGGTCGGCCTAGTGTCAGGATAATGTGACTGGGCGGGAGATCATGCTATATGTCTGTGGCATGATGCTCCAGTGCTAGTCATCACTTTAAACTGCCACATTGCAGACGTCGTAGCAATATGATTGGAAAATTGTTAAAGCTACGTTAAAAATCATAATCACATCACATAACTTAGAGATGCATTCATTGCATTCAAGCACTGATCTCGGCGCTTAGGAGTCAACACTATACGCATGTGGTAAATATCTAAATTCCACTGAATACAAACTTCAAATCGACATCAACAATTTATATGCTTGTTATAAACATTAATTTATATCGATGCATGTAATACGAATGCATAATAATCTTAACAAGGCAGTGAAAAATTGAGTAACATGGATTTACTTTTCAGTGAAAATGTCTTAAAATTTAAAATGAATCTTACTGGTTTGCATAACGATAACACCTCAGTTGGAATTCATATATCGATCGCATATGTTCGCTTGTCTTCAAAAGAATATTTGCCAAAACTACTGTTGAAACCTCTACCGTCCCAGACGCGCGAGCTTTATTTCTTTGGATATGTACTAGACGAGGGGTCTCAAACTCAAAGCACCCTGAGGGTCGAATGAGGTCATTTTAGATGGTGCAAGAACCGCACTACATTTGTTATCTCACATGAGACCTTGTAACGCCAGTCATTGTACGAGCCACAGATTACGGCTTGGCGGGCCGCGTGTTTGAGTTCCGTGTACTAGACTGTGGATTTTCCATATGGGGAATAATATTAGCTTTTAATCTATCTAGAACTGAGGAACGCCAGAAAAAAAGCGTGCCAATAATTTGCCAATAATTTTGAAGCGTCCAATTTTGACTTGATGTTTTGATATTACGTCTTATTTTAAAGAAATCATTACAGATAAGTCTCTCGAATTAATAGTAAACTCAGATCTGCCAATGATAATAACGGAGTCTAAATTTTCAGATGTCTAGATCAATCCATTTCAAAACTCTTTTACTCTATCATCACCTACCTTTTGGAATTTATTATTCATGTCGATACAAAATTCGAACTCCATAGTTTCATTGTGAACCTCATTTAAGAAATCTATTCTTAGCCAGCTGAAATTGTATATAGAAGCCATCTAATACAG